AATAGTTCAGATGATTCACTTAGGCTCAGTTCTCTAAGAAGAGAAAAAAAGGCTGGACAACCCTGTCCCACTGACGAGCCCGGGGGTAGGGGACAACGATGATTCGTCTGCGATGACGGGCGAAACGGATCATCTGTGCTTTGGAGTGTATTCTTTTTCCGAGATTTTGTTTTTCTTTGTTTCTAATTGAACTTGGAAAGGGTGTGGCTCACGCATTTACGTACTTACAGGTGCGATTCCGAAGTCAGTCGGGGCGGGGCAACGGTGGCAGCCCTTTCGCCATCGATCGCTGCGGCTTCGGGTGCTCAGTATGTGGTGGGAATAGGGCTGGCACGGCGCCAGAACAGCCGCTCTGACATGCTACCTTGAGCGATAACGGCTGTACCAACTGTGAACACGCCCCATCTTAACAGACAACGTTGGTGACTGAGCATAGCTCCATGAAAATGGACCCACTTGCTAGAACCGAGGCGGAGAACACGTTCATGGTGAGGTAGACGATAGAGGGCGCTTTACCCTTCTTAGAGCCACACGCGCGTCCTAGAATATCACCTATTGCGCGAGCAAACGCTCTTTTCCCAGATTTTATTCTATGGAGACATTTTAGAGCAAGTGGGAAGCAGCCATGGCTTCTGTGGGTCAGATTGCAGCGCGCCTGGCGATACGCACGCACCATAGAAGCGGCGAAGGTACTAAATCTATTTATCTTGTTCCTTTGGTGCCGTCAGAAATCTACCAAATTTATAAATCGCTCTAACTGAATGGATACAAGCTGTATTGAGGCAGAATAATCGAGACCGGGGGTCTTGACCCACCGCACCCAAGAGAGGAAGCAGCGTTCCCCTTACAGCTGTCCACAGTATGGCGGATTTTGAGGAATGTAATCGGATGAATAACCATATTGATGATAGTAATTTGCTGGAGTAGCGTAGAAATTGTTGTAGATGGAATAGTTGGCCGCTGGAAGCTGATACCATGCTGTAATTGATTTATTGATTGGACCAAAAACTTTAAAAATCAGGAAACGTTTACCTGCGGTAGCTGAAGGAGGACAGCCAGTTTGATAACCGCTATCAACATATTTTTGGTCGTCTTTCGGCGTATACTTGGCTTCTGTCTCTGATTTGAAGTCAATCGTTCCAGGAATAGGAATTGGTTTGAATTCGCATCGTCGCCGTTCTTGGGTGGGGAGTACTCGGTCGAAGAGGATCTGAATGGGACCAAGCCTAACATTGTTATAATAGAACTCCCAACAGGCAAACTAGAACCCTCAAAAAACCTAGGTGGACTGGGCTCCCCTACAACTGAAGCGCTTGCTGAGGTGGCGCTCAGAAGGATCAGCGCATTAAAGACCTGGGAAAAAGACTACGGTAGCAATTGCCGTTTACCTATCCAATAACCTAACTACTACTTCCAGTATTTCTCTGATTTCCTTGGCATGCTCGAACAAGAGGTTTCCCAAGGCTTCTTCATGATATGCACCTTACCGGCACATTCCACGCTAGTCGTAAGGGTGGAGCTAGGCATTTTGTGCGCGTTCTTGATAAGCGTGCATCGAGAAGAGGCACCAAAGCGTGGGCCCGACTTCCGCCTCATATGAACAGCAAGATGTCCCCAAAAGGCGCCATTAAAGCAGAATAGCGCCACCGATGTGCTTGAGAAAGCGTCCCTATCACTGCTGGTGATAAGGATGTTTCCTGCGCAGCTCCCGGGCAGCTAGGTACTAATCAGGATATCCTAAGCGGCGGCAGCGCGCTCAAGCCGTCAAATGAATGACATAGCACCTTGGATGCCACAACACATTTGACTTGACGCCAAAATTATGTGTCGAGTCAACTAGCTAGGAACACTAGCTGGGTTGTGATTGGCATGGAACACGCACCTACGCTATTTGCTGTTCTGCGCTGTACGATCCCTTCGCCCTATATGACGTCATTACAGTGCTTCAGATTTAATGTGAAGTAAAAAATACCCTGGAGGGATCTTTTTGTTGTTCTGCAGTTGATGAGTCTTCTTCAGTTGCCGGTCTTTCGCACGCCTATTCTTGAACCAGATCTGAAAAACCGATAAATTAGTAGAAACATATTGAGCGGGGATAAAATAGAATCCATGATGACGATTTCCAGTGAATTACTGCGAAGACGAAAAAAGTTGCAGTTGCAGTTGGTGGGGGCAGTAAGTGGTACTCAGCGAAGTTAGTACAGATCACCTTGTAAACTCCTGTAGATTTCTGTAACTAACACAACTTACGCACACCATTATACCACTTCACAAGTTCGCAGGTAACAGGAAATAATACAAAGAGTTAGTGGAAGTGCAAAATGCCCCAAGCCCAAGCCAAAGAGCGCCAAAAAGCAATGATTTTGTCAGGCTGAGACTATAATTTGGTCACATTTGGTGAAATTTGGTGGCTGATACCTATGGATGAATGGCTTTCCTTCTGTAAGTTCAGTACGACACAATAACTTGCAGTACTGAATGACATGGTTGACCCTTTACCGTACGATCCATAATCCTTCATAACTCTTGGAGCTAATAAAGATAAGCACAACTAGCCAGCCGTGTGACCA